GACCATATCATGAAACCACCTTGAAATATGTGTAGGTATGTAAATACTTATGTAGGCTACTAATTAGGTATTGCTGGCTGTCAAAATATCAATAATTCCACTTTTCACCGACCCGACGAGACGACTCTTTTGAAAGAAGAAGAAACGCAGACCCATAAATATTGCAGATTTTTTTAAAAACTACTCCTCTTTTTGTGCATATGTTTGTCTACTATGTAAACCTGTCGTTTATGTAACACTGGTCAGTATTATACATAAGTGGATTATGTATTTGTACAAATTTGGCCGTTACAAAATTGAAATTATGTTGATGTAAGAATCCCCGCAGAAATTAAGACGAGAAAAGTTGCCAAGTTTTTTTTCATTAATTGATCGAATGGATCAATTGTGTATGATCTAATTTTTTTTGGCAGTCTTGTTTTGACCTGATCAATTTATTTGTATGTCCAGATTTGTTTACTACATACATTTGGCTGTGTTACAAAATTTACGTTATTTATGTTGATGTAGAAAAATGTGTACAAATTAAAACGAGAAAAGTTGCCAAGTTTTTCTTAATTGGTTGGATGGATCAATTTTGTATGAAAGAATTTGTTTGCAAGTCTCGTTTTAATATAAATTTCGCATGTCCAGATTTGTTTACAAGGCTATTTTTGCAAAAATGCGGGTATGTATTTACATCCAGCGTGACGTACTTGTTACGGTTTTGGACTTTTTTATTGACCTGTACGCACACTAATGTCCAAATCGTGACGCATATATTCAAACAATGATCGTGATATGATTCGAGGTGTATGTAAATTAGATACGCGTTGTCTTAAAAATCTGATTTCCTTCGTATTCTAAGATCCCAGCAGCTTTTTCCATATTTTTTTACTACGATAAAGCCGATATCCTTGCCCCATTCGGCACGACTGAATCCTGTTTTCTCAACTTTTCTTCATAGTAAATCTCGTTTTTGTATCGATTTATATGGTAAATCGGTTTGATTGATTCGTTCGATCTGACCCATTATTTTGTCGATTAAATTAATTCATAACTCATCGCGCAGCTCACAAATTTGCATTGCGAGTAAAATATTTAATAAGCAGGTACATAGCTGCGTTCCTTGCCCACAGTGAGATTAGGTTACATAACCATGCAAATAAAATTGAATCAGGGGCGAAAGGTCAGGCCAGGCGGCGTTATTCATGCAAATTCATGTATTGAGGTTTAAGAAATCAGTGGCTGACTCTAAATCTCATTTTATTACGAGGACATTAAAATGAACATAAATGAGACGGTGGAAGTGCTTGGGATCCATCATGAGAGAAAGGCAAGGGTCGAGATAAGAGGAAGCCAAGTAAACGGAGCCCGATTCATAAAACACAATCATTTATTTATTCTTACAACATGTCCGTATTTATTTTTATTGCCGGGCACTCTGCGTCCCATTCAGGTTGGACAAAGGGTAAAGAGCAATAAGCAACAGATAATAATGCTAGTGACGTATGAGGTTAAGAGCACCCAGGTAAATACAAGAGATGAGATCCCATTACAATATTTTACTTGGAGCCGTTACATAAGTCCCCAGTGGCTGCGGAAGCGTGGGGACAATATCCCCACGGTTGTTCGACGTCCGTATATCATCTGTCCATTTTATATAAACGTCTCCCTTGAGTCCCCCATCCTACAATTTTAAGGTCCCCGCAGCTTCCGCGGCCACTACCCTGGTAATATGTGAATGCATATTTGAGATGTGTGGATGTAAGGGCGAAGGGCGGTTAAGGAGTTAAGTAGTCGTGGTCCCTTGAGAGGTGGACGATGGGTAAATTGCCCTGAGGATAGGAGGGCCTTGAGATCTTGTGTGGAGTTATTTAATGGATTCAGGTAGCCTCCACTCCACTGCTGGAAAGGGACCTTTTTTTATTATTTTCTCTCTACTTCTGTTGTCTTTGTTCCTCCTCTTTTATTTAAGTCGACTCATCCTCGCGTCAGCCATTCCCTTGGGATTCTTACAACTTGGAGTGTATCATCATCAAGTTGAAGACGTTGATGAATTATACGTAATGTGGAGAATTTCCGAGTTTTTTTAAAATTTGTATGTATGCATTCATTGCTGGAGAAATGTGTTAAAAGTTGGGGTGCGGGTTTCGGGTGCAAGAAATGACGGGGAGAAAGTGGTTTCTTGCAGGTAAATATTTTGACCTGGGAGAAATTTACGGCGCAAGAAACTACGCCCGATGGCGCGTATTTCTTGAAGTTTCTCCCAGTTTCTTGCACCTCCTATTTCTTGCATTTTTGGCTTCCAATGCAAGAAATGTTGCAAACCCGCAAGAAACGAAACACTGCGCTTTTTATTTAAGAGTGAAATAAATCAGTAAATAAATCATGGATGAAACCCCGTAAACGAAATAAAGACGATTGTTTTCTTCTCCTGACGGGTTAAATTTGCCGGATTTATTTTCCATTAATTTTTAATTTCTTCTCAAAGCAGGTGCGACATTCATCTTTGGGAGAAGAGTTAATTTGCCGCATCGTAAAAGAATTTAAATTCAAGTGTCCAATTATTTCCGCTTGTCTCATTTCATCATTGTTTAGCCAGAGATGCGCCCAATGAGTACGTAAAATAAAATCCAATGAGAAATTATAAGGTGCTGTGTGGACAGGAAAAAAAATGCTGCCGGCAAAAATTGGCGTTTGGCAGTGCAACAAACAAAACAACGGGAGTTGTACGACCAGACCACAGAATTTAGTATGGAGAATGAACACTGTAAAAATGCATGTATTTTCTAGGATTAGTTTGTAAAGAGAGAATTTTTATGGGGTAATTTTATTTTGGAGATTTGGTAAAGTAAAATTTGTGCGGTTAAAACGCCAAATGTGGAATAAGTGAAATTTTAATTTGCTGTTTGAGATAAATAAAAGATACGACATTCGATGTGAAGTACTTCATGAATTTTGGAAAGTTTATGGAAGAATTTTGAAAAATTCTTGAAACATTTAGTTTATTCAAAAATTAATATCTTAAAAAATCGTAGTGTGTAATATGATGAAATGCTCAGGTTGCAGGTTGAGTGAGCTGCGAAGATTTGGTGCATTGAGAATGAATATTAATGAATTATTAATGAATTATTAATGAATATTTTTTTTTAATAGTGTAAATGCGTATATTTTTTAGGATTACAGTAATTTGCATGGACATAATTTTTGTTATGAGGTAATTTTTTTTGGAGATTTGGTAAAGTAAAACGCCAAATGGAAAATAAGTGAGATTTGATATTAAATATGAAATAAAAGATGCTCATTACTTTCTTTGAAATCTGTAGAAATGGAATATTTAATTGGAGTCAGTGCGTGACATTTGTGCTGAGCGTTAACGAATAAGTTATATAACAAATACATTTTTAATACAAATTTAAGCAGAATTTTTTGAGTAGGTAAAATGAATATTAGAAGTGCGTATATTTTTTTTTATATTAATTTGTATAAAGAGAATTGCTATTATTATGGGGTAATTTCATTTTAAAGATTTGGTAAAATTTGTTGGGTTAAAACGCCAAATGGGAAATGAGCAAGATTTTATGTATTGAATAGGAAGGAAAAGATAGATTAGGAGGGTATACAAATATGTACCAAAATGTAATTAATTACTTACGTATACGCATGAATGAAATACTTAATTGGAGTGAATGATATTTTTGCTAAGCGTTAACTAACAATGCGATGGTGTGAAGTGTAACCCTCCGAATTGGTTGAAATTTCGAAATTAAGTGGTCCATGTCAATACAAGCAGGCAGTTTGTGCGATGGTCAAAATTTGGCAAATTTTTTGAGGTTAAAGTTGAAAAATGTGTAATTTTTAGCACGGGAAGAGAATGGAAGTTGAGTTAGCTTCCTCCGCCTGGTAAAAATCGCCCGTTTTTCAACTTTGACCCCAAATATTTTGACAAATTCTGACCTTCGCACAAACTGCCTGAAGAAACATTGGTTGTATTGACATGGACCACATAATTTCGAAATTTCAACCAATTCGGAGGGTTACACTTCACACCATCGCATTGTAAGTAATTAGTTGCAATAAGGTTATATATTTCTAAAAAAAACAAATTAAAACAGAATTTTGTGACAGTAAAGTCTGACAATAATTAACTTATCAGACAATTGTTGTGCACGTGAGTCCCACCCACCCAATTCGACCCGAATTTTTGAGGAGACTTTTTGTCCCTTATTATTCTTTCTTTTAAGAGGAAAAGTCTGGTTGTATGCAGTGCGTCGGCGGTCGGTCGGTCGGCAAACGAGCCCTGTAATTTGCACCCATTCAGCTCCTCTTGATCCACAATCTGAATGTATAGTTAGTTGCATGGTCACTCTGTGGGAGCAGTGCCTGCCTTGTTTGTGGGGAGAATGTGACCCTTGATCCCGCGATGACTGCGATGGAATAAAAGGGATTCGAGGGGCGTGTTTTTTGAGGTAGTTTTATGAACAGCCTTTTGTATGTCGTGGGGCCAAACGGACGACGACGAGAGGCCGTAAAAAACTATTGTTTACAAGACCAAGAATCTGATCTGTGTGCCTTTTGGATAAAAATTGTGGGAACTGAAAGTTGAGATCTGTTAACGTCGCTAACAGATTTTTTTTAGAAAATTAGAGTCGATAATCGATGACAAATTTAATTAGGATGAAATTTGGGAAAGACACGATCTCTCAATTGGCATGTTTGGCGATATTTGCATCCTATGATGAGAAAATGCGCAGTAAATTTGGAAAGTGTAAAATTTGTCAACTTTAGGACGCATTTTCTCCTCTTTGGATGCAAATATCTCGTCCAAACGTGCCCATTAGGAGGTCGTGTCTTTTGCGAATTGCATACTAATTAAATTTGTGGTCGATTCACACTAATTTCCTGAAAATCGGAGAGCATACGCTGGGAGAACTCCATTGTACATACATTTATAATTTTTGTCTTTTCATGTAATGCAAGTAAGAGCGTTGTTTTTCAAAGATTGATTTTTTTTGCAGATGGAACCTCCTCAAACGAAGCCGCGCATTTGCAACAAAAGCTGAAAAGCCTGAGCTCGGAACTGGTCACGTTGAGGAACCGGCTGCACGTGAATGGTCAGCCGCACGCACATGGCCCGCGAGAAGGGGACGACACGGAGGACACGTCGCCTCAAGTGCCTCCACACCAGGGGCAAAATGGGAGGGGTGGCGTGGACGGGCACAACTACATGAACCACCCCATGCTCCCCTATCCAAACAAACCGCTCCCACCTCAACCACACCCAAATACGAGTCCAGGCAATAATAATAATCAGGCGTTTTATGAAAATCAACCCTTTCAAAAAGGTGAGTCGGATATGTATTACTATCCATTTTTATGTTTAATGACGATCGACGGTCAAACTTTGTGCGTGTGTTGCCTAACTCGCATTAATCATAAACATTTCGAAATATTTTTACGTATTCGTTACATATTTCTTGTTTCTCAGGAATATAAATATTTCCGCTATTTTTTGAAAAATACGTAAATCTTTTACATATTTTTACAAAAATCATATGCAATATAAATATTTCAACGATATGATACGGAATTTATTCCTCTAAGAAATTGGATCATAAAAAAACCAAGAGCAAATTTTTAGAAAATTCTTATTTTGATGTGTTTTTTCGTTCATATTTCGTAAATATATTTTTTTATACTTTATTCATAAATATTAAATAAATCTTTCAGCTATTTTTCGTAAATATAAGTATATCCGCCCTCGGATAATAATATTTATGCATATGTAAATGTATGTACGTAGGTACACTAATTACATGAGTAGGGGGAACAATGCCATGTTAATTTGATACCAATTAATACGAATACATACACTTATGCATTGCGCAACTACAACGAGTGTGTTATGCAACTCGCTCCCTTTTGGAATTCATATGTGAAAAATGTGTATGTATTCTAGTTTTAGAAGAAAACTCATTTCCATATTTCTATCCGGTTGAGAAGAGAAGCTTACCTGCAAACGAACGAAATCAAGTCACGTCAAGTGCTCAATTAGTTTGAAATAGAGGGAGGCTCGAGGCTCTCAAGTGCAGGGATGCTTGGTAGTTTTTTTAGGTACATACATGAAATAAGAACCAGTAAAGTCATAAGTACAATTGGAATAGATTTTTAGACCGAGTCAGGCCTTATGTACCCGTCATGGTTGTCTGTCTGTCTGTCTCTTGATTACGCTTGTAGAACTTGTGCAATAGACTTCAAATTTTGGATTCACGCAGAACATGCAAAATTAGGAATTTAAGTTTTAAGATGATCAAAATGTGTCGAAAAATTTGCATAATTTTGCCATGAAAATGTGTAAACAAAATTTTTGCACATAGATAAGAGTACCGAAATTTGCAGTGTTTTGCTATAAAAATTTGTAATTTGAGTATTCAGACCTCAGGTATTAGTTTCAACCTGACTCGGGCTCAAGAAGGTTGGACTCCTGTAGGTTTTTAAGCATGTAATCGAACGGGGCACCCATTTCGGCCACACTTTTGGCAAGACGCATGGTTTTGCAATGTGGCTGAAAAAGGATATCTAAAAGTTATCTAATCGTTAATGACTGGCAATTAGAAATATCTGAATATAGTCATCTCTAAAAAATAAAAGATTGCGGTATTTTTTAGTAACGTGGAGATTGGACGTTCCTTAATTATCATCCTGAAAGAAGAACTCACCTTTCGGAATTTGTTCTCGTATTTCTGTGCGTGAGAAAGAATCGACTCCAAACCTACGAAGGGATCCTCCTTCTCCTCTTTTCAACTACGTTGGATTACGTAATGTGTAGGACGTAGGTTGTTGGAAATATGATTATGATTTTAACAATTTTTCATATTAATAAAATCCTATTATTATGCGAGACGAGAATCCAGTACAAATCCGGCACTCGGCTAGTTCGTTGCATTTCTAGGGAACAGTTTTATAGTTTGTGTTCACCGTTTTAGGAAATTTATTTCGATATAAATCGCTGGATGGAGTTTTTTATTTTTTTTTTGGTGGGATTAAAGTTTTTTAGGAAATATATAAATTTCAATGTACATCACAATCGCTGCTGCGGCAGCGTTGGAAAAGTGCGTTCCTTCAAGGAAGCCGAGGAGAAAGTTGAAGGGAAAGGGACAGAATTACTTGGAAGCTTCGCATAACTTTGATTTCGTGAGTTTTAAGACGACGAACGTGGCGAAGGAGAGGGTTAGTTGTGATGTGAATAGGAATGTGTATGTGGACTCGGGTGGTAAAAATAAGTGGGACGCGAATAGTGCAGAGATCAGCAGAGTTATTGGGAGTGGTGAAAGTCAGAAGGCGTGTTTGGATAAAGTCATTGCGAAATGTGCATCGAAACTTGATTGGCGATTTGATGTTGATCAGGACTCGTGCGATTTTAGAAATGACGTTGGTAAGAAAGAGGAGTAAATATGGAGGTTGCGAATATTTTTAGCATGATGGATTTTCATATAAAATAGTGTGGAAAATCGGGAAATCAATCTGTAACCATCACTTTGGCTACACATTTAACGTAGGAACGAATAACGCATGGCACAAAGCAGCACATTTTTAATCATTTCTCTCCTCTGGGAATTTATTTTAAAATTCTGAACGACGAATTTGTAGTCAGTGAGTTGATTAATGGAATGGCGTTGAGTTTTTAACCCAGTTTTTCCATAAGGTTAAAATTTCCTGAAGGCTTCTTTGAAAACTCTTCCTTCAAAAATGGTCAAAATCTGGGGTATTTCAAAAATCGGGAACGAAAAACTCTACAAATTTATCTGAAAATTTTAAACTAAATTCCCACAACATCGAAATGATTAAAAATTTTCTGATTTTGGCGTCGAGTCACTGAGTCGCAAAATGTTACGAAAGACGTTATATATTTTTAGACGGATTTCTTTTTAAAAAACTGAAGCCGTGAAATGGTTGAGAGTAAGAAACTGGTGGTGTTGAGGGTATGGAACTTACTGGTAAAAAGTGTCTTGTTCTTCTTGTGGCAGCTTTATAAATAATTGGCCCACCAAGGGAGATTTTTTCCCGTGGCTCACACCATTGTGCAACCTTCAACTTCCTGCATGCTCTTTGTTTTTTATGGTGATGCTCCTCGTCACTCGTCAATTTGTTGGTTTTTAAATAAAGCCAAGGGATTAATGAGGTTAGGCTTGGGTGAGCAGGAATTCTCGTCCGATTTCCTTCCTCCTCCCTTGACACGACTAGTCCAATTCCATCCGAAGAGAGGGGATGGAGTTATTTAAGAGCAATTATAATTAAGGAAATAGTGCCAGAATTATCTACTTGTTCCCGAATTTCCACTTGGGCCATGTCCACTTTTCAATTAAGAAGGAGAGGTCTTGATTTTCGTATGTATTTGTAGTTTCATTTTAATATGTAGAAGAGGTTGTTTTAGAAGAAATGTAAAATGTTGTAATTATTTATTACAACGAGTTGGCAGGGTTCCGTTTTTTGCGGGTTTTGTTACATTACTGCTAAGCAGGAAACGCATGAAATACGAGGTGCAAGAAACTGCAAGAAAGTGCAAGAAATACATACATATGCACTATCTAACCACGCTCCGTATGAACTATACAGCGACGGGCGTAATTTCTTGCACCGTGCATTTCTTGCAGGTCAAAATAGCTGCAGAAAGTCATTTCCTTGCAGTTATTTCTTGCATGTGGGTACTTGGCAGTGATTCGTTTTTTGCGGGTTTGCTACATTTCTTGCACTGCAAGATAAAAAACCCAAGGATTTCAAGGTGCAAGAAACTGCAAGAAACATGCGCCATTTATCCACGCGTCGTATGAAGCACTAAAGCGGCGGAAAGTGTTTTTTTTTCGCGCGTTGCATTTTTTGCAGGTCAAAATATTTATCTGCAAGAAACCACTTTTATGCACTTATCTATTTCTTGCAAGTGGTTACTTGCACGCGAAGCACTGGTTGTAGGTAAATGAATAAATGCGTGGAGGGTATACATTATCTTCTCATGGAGGAATAGGCTCTTAATGAAGAGAGTGACTTGAAGCACCCCGTTATTAAAAGTAAACAATGGATAATTAGTCAACTTTTTGAACCCGTGTGTACTTTCGTGTTTTCGCAAATCGCACAAAAGAAAATTGAGTAATAAACGGGTTTCCTGTTAATTACTGGGAAGCCACCTTCGTCGACATGCAAAATCTTACTCACCGCTCACTCAGAATGGAGGTCTCCCAGCGGATGCTCTCATGAAACTGGTGGCAATCGGGCATAAATTTAATTGGTGTGAAATTTGCGAAAGACACGATCTCCCAATGGGCATGTTTGGCAGAGATATTTGCATCCGAAGAGGAGAAAACGCGAAGTCAAGTCGAGAACTTTTACACTTTCCAAATTTACGGTACGTTTTCTCCTCCTCGGATGCAAATATCTCCGCCAAACGTGCCCATTGGGAGATCGTGCCTTTCGCAAATTTCATACTAATTAAATTGGTGATCGATTCATACTAGTTTGCTAAAAATCCGAGAGCATACGCTGGGAGACCTCCATTTTGAGTCAGTCTTTTAATATATTTTTTCGTCTTTTCGACGGAATTCGTGTTGAATGGATATCAAACTTTATGTTGTACAACAAGAAAACTGTCATTTTGCTCCCGTCGTGATAAGCTATCGACAAAAGGTTTGACATGTGTCCTCCTGTGCACATTCGTCATTTGTAGCGGAGGAGGAGGAAATGCAACATTGATAGGAAAAAGGAGCTCATAAATGTCACTGGTTTGTCACAATGCTTGGTTTACACGATTTATCATCCTTTCAATTATTTTCTACTAAAGATTAGATGCAAATCAAGGTCATAAATAATTAGGAAAAATGCTGCCATTCTCATAAAGTCAACATCATTATCGCACCGTCGGTTGGTGGATTAATCAGATTTTGCAAAGGAGCGGATGGGAGAAAAGTCGGCTTGCTTAATAAGTAAAACAGGAACTTTGATACTAAACTTATTAATACGAAATATAATAATAATTGAATTGGCTATAAAATTATGGCTCGAGTCGAGTCATTTGTGCCGAGCTTGTTGTCGGAGGTGGGTGTTTGGTTGGCAAAAAATGTTGCGAAAATAAATAAATGGCGAACAGGCCGATCCTTCGGAAATCGATCCTTCGGAATCCATTAAATCGCTCTCCAAGTTATTCTTGGTACACGACTTATACGCAGAATGAGAGTGAAATTGTGATTGTGAAATTTCCAGAAGTGGTCCGGATTGGTGGGGACATTTTGGGAGTGTCAAACTGCTCCTCGAACGTGCAAAATGACAAGTTGGGAGTTGGCGTGGTTCATGGGATTCCTTTTCTACAGAGGGATCACAGGGAGAGAGAGAGGGATGCGACGCAGGTACGTACGAAATTTAATGCTTATCACGAAAATGGTCGAAAGCAGCATATTTTTGATCATTTCTCGGGTGTGGGAATTTATTTTACAATTTTGGACGACAAATTTGTAGAGAAAGTCGTTGCCCATTTTGGAAAATGCAAACTCCAAATTTTGACACTTTTTCAAAGATGAGATCTCAAGTTTAAGAAGCCTGCAGAAAAATTGGACCTTGTTGAAAATAACTCAAAAAACTCAGCGTCATTTCATTAATCAACTCACTGACTATGAATTTGTCGTCCAGAATTTTAAAATAAATTCCCAGAAGCGAGAAATGCTTAAAAAATGTGCTGATTTTTGACGATTTTGGTGACAAATCCTCATCGAGTCCAACGTTAATCTGCCTCATTAAAATTGTGTATAAAACAAATTCGCACTAATTTTTGCAGAGTCAGGGAAGTGGGAGCTGTGTAATAAACTCGAATTCCGGCGGAGCTGGGAGTGGTTCAGTAATTTTGGGTTCGAACGTGACCACTTCGTCGCCCTCGGAAAGTTCGTTCGGCGTGTCGAACAAGTCCCTGGAGCGTCCGGGGAAGGGGATTTCCTCGCACAAATCGTCCCCCGGGGGCCACTCGAAGATCAACAAGCGGAGGAAGGTGAACTTGGCGGAGGTTGATGATCTCATCCATCTGAGCGGACCTTTGACGGAGGATGCCATCATAAGATGCATCCAGGCCAGGGTGGCGGCAGGCAGATGCTCGGTAAGGGGGACACATTTGCTAAAATTGGGATGCAAATATTAGTGTGATGGGCAGAGGGAGGATATGTATTTATTTCAAATTTTTCATTTGATGACAACCAACAGTCAAATTTATGCTTTATCTAACTCGCATAGATGACAAAAATTTCAAAATATTTTTACATGTTGGAATATATTTCTTTTTCATATATATATTTCATATATGACATATTTATATATATTTCCACTATTATTTGAAAAATGTGTATTTTTTTCATATTATTTCTATACAAAAAATCGTATATTTTGTAAATATTTGAAAGATACGAGACGATTTTTTTTGCTCAAAGACATTCGATAACTAAAAATCCGGAGCATTATTCTGAAATATCTTTACGAAATTTGATATTCTTATATTTTTTCGCACATGCATAATTCATAAATATTTTGGCGTTTTTTTCGTAAATACATATTAAATGCACCTACATATTTAAGCCTACATACATATTTAACCTACATATTTAAGCGATTTTTCATAAATACGTACATACATATTCCCCCTTTGATGATGAGCTATGTATGTATGGTACCTAAAAGTTTAATGACGGCAGGTACCTAAAACCTAAAGAATGTACCCGACGCAAAATTCCATTCCTTAATTTAGCATTTGAACATGATTTATGTTTCATTTTTTAAGGTGTACATGGGTCCCATTTTGCTGATGACGAATCGTCTCACGTCGACGAACGATCCCCTCACGCTGGCCTCCACGGCGGACTGCCCCATCGCCTCCGACCTCAAGAAAATCGTGGTGGAAACGTTGCGCCAACAAGCGGACACGGGTTACCCGCAGGCCCTGATTTTGTCGGGGGTTTCGGGTGCGGGGAAGACGCACACGTCCATGCTCATCGTCCGACAACTCTTCCTCCTCGCCGGAGGTGGTGTCAGTTCCGACGCTTTCAGACATTTGAGTGCTTCCGTGACCGTGCTGAGGTCACTCGGCACGGCGACGACGGTGCTAAACAGGAATTCAAGTAGAGTGGTGAGTGGTTCATACTTACAATGGAGGTCTCCCAACGTATGCTCACAGAATTGGACCAAATTAGTGTCAATCGATCACAAATATAATTAGTATGAAATTTTCAAACGACACTATCTGCGAATGCTCAAGTTTAGCGGAGATATTTCAATAAAAAGAGGAGAAAACGCACCCCAAGGCTGGCAAATTTTTCATTTTCAAAATTTGCTGTCCATTTTTCTCGCTTTGGATGCAAATATCTCGGCTAAACTTGAGCATTGGGAGATAGTTCCATTTGCAAATTTCATACTAATTATATTTGTGATCGATTGACACTAATTTCGTCCAAATCTGTGAGCATACGTTGGGAGACCTCCATTGTTAAAATGGAGGTCTCCCAGCGTATGCGATCCGATTTTCAGCAAATTAGTGTCAATCGATTGCAAATTTAATTAGTGTGTAATTTGGAAACGACGCGACCTTCCAATGGGCACGTTTGCCAGAGATATTTGCATCCCAAGCGGACAAAAAGCGCCGTAAATTTGGAAAGTGTGAAATTTGTTAACTTTTTAAGGCACATTTTCTCCTCTTTGGATGCAAATATCTTCGCCAAACCTCCATTGTCTTGGGCAAACATTTTTTTAATGAATTCGGACACAGATGAATAAAAAATTGAATGAGTAAATAAGTGGCTAGTTTTATAAAAATGACGTGAATTGTTGTCCAAAATTTTATAGCAAGTGTGTGCCAAATTACAAAACTCATCCTTTCAATCTAACTTGCAAAATAGTTTGTCACATTTATTTAAAATAAGTTAAACGGCGTTAAACAATTAAATTGTTTACAAAATGATAAAGAAGGGTATCTGTTATGGTGATCGTTTTGGGCTAAATTTCTTTGAATTTTGCATTATTCTGATCAGTAATTAAGGCGATATTTTGGGATAATATATTTTATCAAAATCCGGTTGGTTGTCAGTGGTTTTTGATTAGTAAATAGGGCTCAATGATTCATACCCCGATTTAAGGCTTGGGGAACCGGTTTGCCAGTCTGTCTGTTCGTATGTCTGTTCATTTTCAACTTCGTCAAATGAACCCCGATTGATTAAAAACTTGACGATTTGGCAGATTATACTATCAAACAATTATTCAGTGTGTCTACTATAACTCGAAGGGACCCGTTTGAGTCCCTTCCAACCCACGAATGTAATTACCGTTTTTATCTTATCGGGCTTTGGTGTATAGGCATTGAAAATGTTATGCAAAATGGTAGCAACGCGCAACATGGTTACCATTTTATTAATACCTGTGGTAATTTAGCATGGTTTCCATTTTATTCCCTGTTTTTTGATGCATTTGAATTTATTGCTCGAAATCTAGAAATGTACCATCTTAAATTCTTTGATGAAAAATCACCAATAGTATAACCATCAACATATGCAAATATTTACAAAATCGTTAGTGGGCTTCGTATTTTAATTTGCGTTTTTGTTTTTGGCCTATCTAAATACGTGTTAAACATAGCCCAGGAGAATATTTGTTTCTCCACTTGTGGACATGTACCATTCCTGAAAATTTCAGGAATGGTAGTTTGAAAGTTGTTTGATATCGTATAAAAAAATCAGAAAAATCGTTCGTGGGCTTCATCGTTTTATAATTCATCGAAATTTAGCCCAATACGATCGTCTTAATAGATACCAAGCTTTGTGATCGATAAACGATAAGTCTGAGGATGAGAGCATAAGTTGGGAGATCTCCATATGATGGGGAAGGGTGTAATAATAAGAGGGTGGTGATTGATTGCAGGGTCACTTCATCGAGGTGCAGGTGACTGAAGGGACGGTGTACCGGACGAAGGTGCACTGCTACTTTTTGGACCAGACGAGAGTGGTCAAGACTCCGGTGGATGAGAAGAATTACGACATTTTCTACCAAATGTTGGCCGGCCTGAGTCATGAGGAGCGAGGTAAGGAATGTGCATCTACATATGTACATACAAAGTGATGAGAAAGAGGACGCGTGAGAATGTATGCACGCGAGAATGACTTTGTATTAATTTGGCATGACAATTGCAGAACGACTGCACCTGGGTCATCACACGGTGGAGACGCTCCGCTATCTGAACAGGGCGGACTGTCGAACCGATGAGAAGGAAGATAAGCGCAGGTTTCTCGACTGGAAAACGTCACTCGGTAAGAATTCACAATTTTGTGTGCATGCATAGCTGGCGAGTAGTAGAATTTTGAAGTCGGGATTTAAACCAGGATTGTTGGGGATCCCATTTCTGGATGTGGTGCGCGTCCTGGCCGCAGTGATCCTGATGGGAAACGTGCAGTTCAGGGAGTCCTCGTCCTCCTGCATGGAAATGGACATCAAGGTACGAATTGGTTCTGCAGCATTTTTTACCAACCAAAAATTTATGATTGACACGTAAACCATGTTCAACCCAGATTATGTTTTAATCATGTCAGCTCAGTTTGAAAGAACAACTCTTTAGAAAGAATATTTAGTTTGGAACTTGTCCAGATGCGGAAAATTCAGAGCGTCATGGACGCCGCAAGTTCGCGAAAGCTTGGTTTTTGAGCTGAATTTGTACCGCAGCTCAGTCTTTATCGCATTGATTCCTCCTGAATACCGAGCGTTTTCGCGAACTTGGGGCGCCCGGAATTTGCTGAATTTTGCGCAAGTTTCGCACTAAATGTTGTTTCTAAAGAGTTTGTCTTTGAAAAGAAGGTGGCCAAAAAATAATTTGGAATGAACATGGTTTGGGTCCCCACTGTGAAAAACTTATCATTTATCATCAGAGTGAGAAACTTTATGCTGACTTTAGTTTCTTGATCTTGTTTTGTTTTTTCTCTTTGTTTATGATGCCACAGATTTTATCCGTGATAATGACGGACTGAAATCAAGTCCAGCTAGTTGAGTATGCTAATTCTGTTATCTTGTTTAAGTTGAGATGAGACTGATTTCGTTTGCATTTATTGAATGAACGAAACATGACATTTTTCTAGTTTTGTGTATCAATTTCATCTCCTGGACGAAAGTCAAGGTCAGAGTTCAAGGTTCTCTCTTCAAGATTGAATTTTACTTTATTTGCCATTTAAGGTTCTCTTAATTGCATAATTAGAATAATTAGAGGGAAGAATGGACCTCGGTACGTATAATTATCACCCCAAATTTGATCTCTGTATCGACTTTGGAGCAAAGCCTGATCGAAATTGGAGTTCTAATGGGCGATAAAATTACCTTTTATGATTACTCCTTCGACACCTCAAACTGTTTTACAAACTTTTGCTACGCCTTGGCGTGGCCACGTCTTTGTTTATTTTTCTCGCTTTGCTTGACACATCTCCAACTCAAAACAATGACACTATTTTTTTGTGCTTGGAAATCCGGGTGTGTGTGGAGTGCAGTAGAGTGGCCACGGAAGTGTGGGGACAATGTCCCCAAAGGTTATTTGATGTCCATATCGTCTGTCCATCTTATGTAAACCACCCCCTCCATTATTCTACAATGTTAATGTCCCCACGCCTTCCGCGGTCACTGCATGGTGAAGTGGTATCAAGAAATCAGGATGATTTTCTTACCCACGCAGCAGCGCATTTAAGAACTGCATTCCATTTGTTTTAACTTTCTGGAACCGGTTTGAACTCGGTCCCATTATTTTCATCCGAGGATGACATGCATGCGACGAGAGTAAATCCGGGATCAGATCAGTCAGAGGCGAATTATAAATAAATGCGGTGACGGAATTAAAATCTGTGTGTATTTTTGTTTTCAGGGAGAATCTGAGCTGCAATCGGCCGCGGCGTTGTTGGGAGTGTCAGAATCCGCGTTGAAGCAAGGATTGACCATGCGCACGCATAATGCTCGCAATCAACTCGTGAGATCTCGAGTGGACGCGAATTCCTGCAACTTTAGTCGCGATTCTTTAGCAAAGTCGCTCTACACGAGGACCGTGGCGACCATTGTGAGGAGAGCGAATAGTCTGAAACGTTTGGGTATACGATTTTTAATGAGTCAGGATAATTGATAATTTACGGGTTAATTAATTGTTGGTTCAATCCTATGTGCAGGATCGAATTCCGGAACGTTAAGTTCCGATTCAGCAGATTCTGTTCATAATCAGGCCGAGGTTGCGAGTCAACACGCCTCCACCGTGGGGACGGCGGGGTCCAAAGCGTCGAAATCTATGACCGCGCTTAACAACGCGGTGCGACAGGTGAGAAAAATTGGAATAATTTTGATAACCAAAGTTTAACATAAAATGGAGGTTTCCTAGCGTATGCTCTCCGATTTTGTTTGATGAAATGAGTGTCGATCAATCACAAACTTAATCGGAGAGCATTCGTTGGGAGACCTTCATTGTGAGTGGCATGAGAATTAATGAAAACTAATTCAAAAACTAGACGACGGATGGGTTCATCGGGATTTTGGACATGTTTGGCTTTGAAGATGTTCGGGTATGGCGATAAGAAAGAATGATAATTTAGTTTGATTTGTTACTTATCGATATTTGTTTTACATGATTGACGCCGTATATTTAGCCGAGTCATTTGGAGCAATTGTGCATTAATCTGTGTGCCGAGACGATGCAGCATTTCTACAGCACGCACATATTCAAAGCGTCCATCGAATCGTGTCGTGACGAAGGGATTCAGAGCGACTGGGAAGTCGAATACCTCGATAAGTATGTGACTCTAGGTTATCTAAATATTTAGGGTGATAAGCTAACATACGTAATTGTTAATTGCAGTGTGCCATGTATTGACCTCATATCATCGCTGGTAAGAGAAAGAGTTATTAACTTATAGGACTCGATGAATAATGGCCAAAATCATAAGATTTTTAATCACTTCTCGGCTCTGGGAATTTATTTTAAAATTCTGGACGACAAATTTGTAGAGCAGGGAGATCCCGATTTAAAAAAAAATACACTCAAGATTTTGACACTTTTTGAAGGAGATCTCAAGTTTAAGAAGCCTTCAGAAAAATTGGAACTCATCGAAACTGGCCATAAAAACTCACCGCCATTCCAATAATCAACTCACTAGCTGCAAATTTGTCGTCCAGATTTGTAAAATAAATTCCCAGAGAAATGATTAAAAATGTGCTGATTTTGACAATTTTGGTGATAATTTATCGAGTCCTGCGCTATCCACTCGAGTAGTAGTTCCTAATTTACGAAATTATTGCAATATTTGCAGAGAACCGGTCTCCTGTCCATGTTGGATGTTGAATGTAGTGCGAGGGGAACGGTGGAGAGCTACGTGGAAAAGGTGACCTCGGTGCACAAGACGAATTCGCGACTCGTACCTATCGACAGATCTGCGGCTGTGACGGATCTACGCTCATTTTCTGTGCAACACTATGCCGGAAAAGTGGTCTACAATTGTACAGAATTTCTCGGTGAGGAGGAGGAAATATTAAGGAAAATGATTTATGTATGGGAGCAGTGTAAAAATTTGGTTTGATTTGGTGTTGTTAGATACGAACCGAGACATTTTGGCGGACGATTTGGTCGCCGTATTTCACAAGCATCGATGCTCATTTGGCTTTGCGAGCCATTTGTTCTCTTCCGAACTGAAGATTTTGGGGGCTGGTGGGATGGAACCGAGCCCAAGGGGGATCTCTTTCCGGATTTCGCCAACCTCACATACTGAACTGTTAGTAAAGAAAAAGCTGAAAATAATTAATTTCTAGTGACAATGCAACCTTTTTTAAAGTTACACTGGGATTTTCTAGCGAGTTATATCAAAAAATCGAGCTAAAAATTAGGAATTAGATGGCACTTTTATTTTCGTTGAATGGCCCCTTTCAAGAAAACTTGGGGGAAAAGCTCATTTTCTGAGCAAATTTTCTCTCGCGTTTTCCTCCACGAGGCAAAAACAAAGGCCGATGTGGGAACTTTGTCTCCTAATATTTTTATTCAAAGAGGCTGCTCAACGGGAAGATAAGTGTCATGTGACTTCTAATTTTTGGCCTGATTTTGTTAAATAACTCGCTACAAAATCCCCGTGTAGCTTGAAAAAGGTACTTGGTTTTAGCAGTTTATGAATGTTTCTTATCGTAATTTTTCAGGCTCAATGGGGACGAACCCGTCTCAACGCTTACGCAAGACTTTCACACTCGGCTGGACAACCTGCTGCGGACCTTGGTCCATGCAAAACCTCATTTCATCCGGTGTATCAAAATCAACCAAAGCGAACAATCCGACCTCTTCGATCGCCACGTTGTTTCGAAACAGTTGAGAGCGTTTCAAGTTTTGGAAACGGTGAATCTCATGGCGAACGGGTATCCGCATCGGATGAGGTTTAAGGCCTTTAATGCAAGGTTGGAAGAATTATCAATTTGTTATATTTTATAATTAATTAGCAGAATAATTAATCAATTAACATTTTCTTGTTAGATACAAACTGCTGGGTCCATTTCATCAATTGTCTCGCTCAGAGGAGCGAATTCTGGAAGATTGTCAACTAATTTTGGACTGTTTTGACAATTCTGTGGCAAGTTGTCATGCAAGGGATCGAAGAAATATCAGTATTTCTTGGGCGGTCGGAAAGAGGCACATTTTTCTCAGGTACGTATGCATTTACTGTTTTTTAATCGGCTTTTTAGCCCGAGTCAGGACTGACGTGCGCGTCATGGTGTCAAAAAAAGTCGCACAATTTTGAATTTCAATACAATTTTTATGTAATTTTGACTTTTTCCTGGGTAAAATATAGTACATTTTATTCCTGAGGAAGTCACCTGGTCGAGTTTTGAGATGCATTTTCTGATCATGTTAATTACCGCACGTTGCTAAATATTTCTTGATTTGGATATGCTTAAACACGACGTCAAAAATGCATTTGTATGTAAAGAAGGGTCGTAAAGTTGGTTAAAAGATTCGATACTCTTCAGTTAGGTAAATCATGATTAGGAAGTTGAAGGCTAGATATTTTTATGAAATCTTGGTTTTCTACTGGATAAAATAGTATGCAATTTTGTTTCTGAGAAGATATCCATCTGAATCTAGTCGAATCGTACGATGCATTTCCTAAACTCTTTATTCCAATTCCAAACTTTATGCACAGTTGGACGTCAAAAATGAAATTTTGTGAAAAAATTTATTTAAAAGCAATTACAAGATGTGCTATAGTTCGAAATTCTAATTTAGAAATTCAGTGAAGTTTTAACACAATTTTGATTTTCTGTGGGATAAGTAAAACAAAATACTATTTTTTCCTGGGAGCACACTACACGCGAATCCGGACTAGTTTAATGTTCGATTTTGTAAACTTTTAAACTATCGATTTAGATTTACGCTAAATATTTCTGGATTTGGAAATGTACCAGTTCGACGTCAAAATGCATTTGTGTAAAAAAATGGATAGAAATTTGATTAAAAGATCGTTCAATTTGTGATTGACTAAATATGAGACGCTATTTTTTTAATGGAATTTGGACTTTTTGCGGAATAAAATAGACTACAATTTTGCTTCTGAGGAGGATCCGAATCTGGTTCAATATTACGCATTTTCGAAACTTTTTAATATAAAATGTGAATTGGTTGTTTGACTGTTGATCGATTACGTTTGTAAAACTTATCCAATCGAGTTGGAATTTTGCACATGCAAAATTTGGAAATCATGTTGGAAGATGAGCAAAATCTGTGGAAAAATAGAAAAGTTGTCGTGATCGTATTATACCAACCTCAATTATTGTAACAACCTGACTCGGGCTAAATAATAAGGCTGCACTGTGCCTTTAAAAAAATACAGAATCCGAAAAATTGCGAATTATTGCGTAATCTAAATAACTCTTGTCCCCCTTTTAGCGAGGGTGCCCGCCAGCAACTCGAGTCATTCCGGTCTTCTGCTCGAACCCGTGCCGCCACGCTGATCCAGTCCACGTGGCGGGGTTTCCACTGCCGCCGTCGGTGGCCCATGCTCCGCCAAAGCTTCCAGCACCACCAACACCATCGCCACTACCCCGCAGAAGAAGACCTTCCTCCGAGTCTACCTCCGCCAAATCCACACCAATTTTCGAACGGGTCTCATTTTACGACGCAACCTTTCGGACATTCCACCACGCTTCCTCGGCAGCACTGTCCCTCGAACGGAATGGGACCACCGCCCGTCCCACAAACGTCTTATCCAGTGAAACCTTATCATCAACAAGTCACCACGACTAATAATTTGTATCCCGGGTATTCTGCGGCGTCGACGCTGCGTCATTCGTCCCTGATAAGTGCTCCTCCTCCACAGTCGTCCCAATCTCTGCCCCATTTGCAGAGGACCCAGCCCCTACTTTCGCCATCGACCACGACCCTTCCAGTTCCCGTTCCTAGGAGGGAAGCGTCCACTTCAAATCCGGAAATGCATCACAACAACCACCCGAAAAATCTGCCTTCTTCCGGTTCCGTGAGTGTGACGAGTAGCCTGTCCCCACCGATTTTGCCCCCAATCACGCCCACGAATGGACACACGATTGCGACAGCGACCACGGTGGCGACGAATGGTGGGACGCAGTCGCTGTGTAGTAGTAGTAATCACAGTAATAATTCGAGTGGGGCGAGACCTCCGAGGCCGCAGCCGATTAGTGGGACACCCCCACCACAGGAACAGCAGGAGAGGTGTGACCCCAAATTGGTGCAGCAGACTTGTTCGATGTTTGGGTTGGATATGGTGAGTGTTGGTGCAAGTGTTATCAGAATTTTAACGTAGGACTCAATTACTTATCACCAAAATCAGCACATTTTTGATAATTTCTCGACACTTGGAATTTATGTTTAAAATTCTGGAAGACAAATTTGTAGAGCAGGGAGTCGCCAATTTGTTTAAAATATATATACCCTCCAGGTTTTTACAGTTTTTGAAGGAGGAGATTTCAAGTTGAAGAAGCATTCATAAAAATTGAGACTCGTCGAAATTGGCTGAAAAAATTACGGAGATTTAGTTTTAACTATATAATCAACTCACTGACTACAAATTCGCCTTTCAGAATTTTAAAATAAGTTCCCAGTGCAGAGAAGTGGGTTGTTTTTCACGATTTTGGTGATAAGTCATCAAATCCTACGTTGATGACGACGATGCTAATAGATTTATTCTTGATGCAGGAGCGACCCCCTCCACTCCCACCCAGTCGATCATACACAGTGACAGGAAACACGAAATTGGGGTATCCACAAACCCGGGTGATGAAGATGACTTATCCAGGTAAATATGCGTCCAATAAATAATTAAGGAAATGACCAAGAAATAATAACTTTGATCTAAAATTAATCTTTTTCTTGTCCCATGCAGATGAAGGCACCCCGTCCGACATCCGTTTGTTGAAGGGGGACTCGGTGACGGTGATTGGGACGTCGCCACGCCGGGGTCATCTCATGGTGGAAGTGAAGAACAGAACGCTGCACGTGCCTTTCCAATACCTCGAACTTAAAACGACTTCCGAGCCTTAAATATTGAACCGATTTCTTTAAACTGAACTCATTAAATTAAATTAATTTATGTAATGTACATTAATTTTAAATCGGTTTCCTCATCTCGTGATACGGAATCAATTAATTAGGATATTAATTTATAACTATGTATTTTTATTTTACCCAGTATTGTTTTTTTTACACGGACAAAGTGCAATTTGTACAAAATGATTGTGTTCTCAGAGGAAAAAAAGATATGATTTCGATTAAATTCATTATGATGAAAGTTTACAAAGTTTACGAGTTATTTATTAGATTACGAGATCGTCGTAGATCTTGTTTTTGCATAAATTGTATAGGTGCGTGGGCGTAGGAGAGAATTGCATTTCATCGTAAATTATTACGATGCAGTCCTAATACTATTACGATTCGTAAGCATTTGCATAAACAAGTTGGTTGCTATTAAAGTCAAGCGTTGGTGGTGATGATGTCCAAATATGGAGCGGTTTCATTGGCTCTGTCCACTTTTAAAAGAATTCACAGTCGACGTTGGTCCATTCTTTGAGTAAAATTGAGCTTAGAAATTTGTTGTGAAATTATTTTTGGTAAAATTGAGCTTACAAATTTGTAAAAATTTCAAAAGGTTTCTAGAAATTTAAATTTGTTAGCCAGATTTGGACAATTTCGGAGCCCCCTGCTGCGAAGTAGGATTTTATCAATTGAAATACGTATTTTTTCGTCGTCCGCGTTGTCATCAGTGATGATGATGATCTCTCAATAATTTACATAATTTGTGGATTTTTTGTGTGAATATTTGTGCCGTAATAAATACTTGAATAATAACGGCGTAATTAAATAGGCGTCATCTCACAATGTCCAGTTTTGGGGATGGTTTTGGGAACTTCAGTAACAATCGGATGGGCGGAGGTGGTGGTGGTAGGCGTGGATTTCGGGAGGACGAAATTGACGAGAAAGTGAACAAAGTCATCAGTGAAAAGGAGTCCGCACTCGCCGAACGGGATCTAGCCTTAGAAGATTTAAGAAATGTGGAGACCGCATTTTCAGAGTTGCACAAGTGAGACTTTTTATAGAATTTATTCAGATTTATTTACATATTAGAACATTGTTCATATGGAATGGAAAATTATTTATTAACATAAACATAATAGAATTTGGTTTAGATTTATTTGCCGTAATGTACATTTGTATGTCGGACTGGATGAATAATCGCCAAAATTAGAAGATTTTAAAAAATTTCTCGGGTCTGGGAATTTATTTTGAAATTCTGGACGACAAATTTGCAGAGCTGTAGTCGTTCAAAATTAAAAATAAATGGAGAATCCAGATTTTGACACTTTTTGAATGAGGAGATCCCAAGTTTAAGAAACCTTCAGAAAAACTGGAACTTCTGACTGAAAAAATTCACCCCTATTCCATTAATCAACTCACTGACTACAAATTGTCGCCCAGAATTTTAAAATAAATTTCCGGAGCGGAGAAATGATTAAAAATGTGATGATTTTGACGATTTTGGGGATGAGTCCTATGTTAAGTTTGCCTTTTTGTGTGCAGGAGGTATGAGCGTGCCAAGACGGTGATGGACAATTTGAAACAGAATGAAGAACTGCTCAAAGCAAGGGACGCACAACTCGTGAATAAAGTCGAAATGAAAGATCAGCAACTCGTCAAATTAAGGGAGGAAGTGACACAAAAGCTGGAACAGTAAGTGCAGGATTAACTGACGATAGACGTATCCCAGCGTAAGCTCTCCGATTTCGAGATCACAAATTTGATTAGGATGAAATTTGCAAAAGGCACGATCTCCCAATGGGCACATTTGGCAGAGATATTTGCATCCGAAGAGTAGAAAACGCGCAGTAAATGCAGAAAGTGTAAAATTCGTCAACTTTGTTAGAATGTGATTTAGCTTTTTCGGATGCAAATATTTCTGCCAAATGTGACCCCTAAGAATAGGTCGTATCTTTTGCAAATTTCATATTACTTAAATTTGTGCTCTATTTCCACTAATTTACTCAAAATCGGAGAGTTTACGCTGGGAGGCCTCCATTGTTAGGGAATAATAATTCGTAATTATGTTTCATTGATTTTATCCAGAATGTATTCCGACTATGAGAAGAAGGCACAAAGTATTGAAGCAGAGAATACCCGGTTGCGAGCCCAGATTCGGAAATCGGAAATGAAGATTTCCACCCTGGAGAGCGATTTGGAGCAAAAGACGAAGGAAAATGCGCAGCTTCACGTCTTGTGCGATGACCTTATCAATGGCAGCAGCGGTGGAGGTGGTGGAGGGACCGGGAGGTTATCTTAGCTTGATTAGTGATTGGACAGTCGCAGCAGTTACTATAAATGTTCTTGTTCGTTATAATGTTAAATTGTGTACAGTAATAAAATAAATATTATCACGCCTTGGTTTTCGTTTTGCGTGTAAAAATTTGTAAAAATGACTAAAAATCGTCCTCCAATTTAACGACGATCATGATGAGCATGTTAAATTCGCCTTCGTACATATTATTTAGGCAGTTGGCAAAATTACATTTTTAAAATTTCCGTAATTTCATCAATTTTTTGTGTTTAGTAAAAATTTTCGGAGACAAAATGCAAAATATTCAGAGCAGGGATCAACGGTGCTGATCGTACGTACCCCGCCGCGTCGCGTGGCGTCTGTAGGATTTTGCGCGTCGCCGCCGCTGATAAGTCTGATTTCCTATTCCTTCAACATTCATACGCTATGCGGCCGAAAGAAGAACATCAAAATTTTGCACCGTCACCGCAAAATTGGTTGACGTTGATTCAGAGGACACTCCAGAATCGTTTCAAGATAAGCCGTAAATTTTGGCTAAACTCAAGAAATATATTAAATTATGGAATATTGAAAAACGTATAGCTTTGCTAACTACACATTATCGCAGTTCGGCTGTCGTATAAATTTTTATTTTATGAAATTCATCTCGTAAATATGTATTTTGAATTTTAAAATTAAATATATTACTCTTGTTAAATATAAATAGCTGCTCGTACAGTGTCAGACGATGCCTTCCAACGCGAGTCTCCTCCGCTCCACGGTTTTGACGAGGAATCCGACGAGGCCGAGGCGGAGGAGGATTTCGAAGGTCATCTTGACCTGGTAGAAGCGGTCCGAGACGGAGAGCTGCTCAAAGAGGCCGAACAACGCAAAGTAGTTCAGCATGGAGAAGGAAATCAGGCACAGTTGGGCGAACAGGGCGTATCCCAAGTAGCGTTTGGACCTCAAGTTCTGCTGAAAAATGTTAAGGCCAATTTTAATAAGTCGATGAGCCCTTAATTTTAGGAAATTGTGTACCATTTTCATGAGTAAGGAAGCAATGAGGACGCCCGTCACAACGCGACCCAGTCTGATCACCGTGTCCTCCACGAAGATGAGGAGGACTCGACTTTCTCCGAAATTGGAAAGGTTGGACATTCCACCTGAAAAAATTTATAGATTTTGAAAAAAATATTGGTTAATAACGTTGACCTCGATGACTTATCATTAAAATTATGTAGCACATTTTTAATCATGTCTGAGAGATGATCTCTCAGCTCTGGGGATTTATTCTAAAATTCTGGACGACGAATTTTTAGAGGAGGTCGTTGTGAATTTTATAAAAGTGTACACTCCAGATTTTGACCCTGTTTGAAAGAGGAGATCTAAAGGTTAGGAAGCCTTCAGAAAAATTGGAACTCATCGAAACTAGCCTAAAAAACTCAAGTCCGATCAATTAGTGAACTCACTGGCTACAAATTTGTGGTCCAGAATTTTAAAATAAATAAGTTCCCACAGCGGAGAAGTCATTAAAAATGTGAAGATTTCAAGATCTTGGTGATGCGTCATCATCGAGTTGTACATACGTTAAATATTTGGCTGCTTAATTAGTTTGTGATAAGTACCTTCATTAATTTCGTCGTAATCGTGCGTCGTGGTGTCTCCTCTGTCATTGGTCAACAAGACTTGTGGGATTTTCTCCGTGGTGAGAATATAAATTGAGTATATCTGCGAGAGAAAGGACTCGAATTAAATTAATTGATGGCAATTTATGTGTCTAAATTGAAGGTCAAGTTATATATGCAATGAGACTTTCGTATATGATGGCTTAAAATTTGCACAATTTTGTGTACATAAATAATATTGGGGTAGAGGACCGGAAATTTTGGAGATCTAAGCCAAAATGTGCGAATTCTTTGCAAATTTTGAGAAATTTAGTTTTTGGCTAAAACCTGGGCAAACATGACTGGAAATAATTTCTAAAATGATTTTTAACCTAAATTATTAACCAACTGGCTTGGTAATTTTTTGCAATAATAAACCGAATTTTGCTTACAATGTCGAGAAGAAGTAGGACTCTCGTCCCGAGTTCGATGTTGCTGGGCGTGGCGTAGAACTGGGCGAAGGCTTTTGGCTTGAGGCCGACCGGGGGGAGGGGCAGGAAGGCTTGTTCCGGTGCGAAGGACAGGTCGGCGTCACTCGCCTCGTAGGGGGAGTAGTTTTGCGGGGTTTGGGAAATCATCTCGCGGTCGTTGTCGTCCAGTCGCCAGAGAACGTTGGCCGCAATGACGGCGATGGAAATGATGTACACCTCCATCCCGATGTCCACCCCGAGCACCCACAACTTCCGCCAGTAGAGAGCGTCCCGCAGGGAGAGCGAGACCAGAAGTGTCCAGGAGGATATCACGATTTTTAAGATTAGTAAGAGTAAGCTCCCAGCGATCCAGATGGACACGTGATAACTTCGGCCCTGCAGATAAGGACGTATTTATTAAGGGAGATTTCGTGGGGAAATTCTGGGGGAAAATTTACCGTGAAAATGACTGCGATCCATAAATATGTGGTGAGAATGAATAGAAATCCGACCATGAGAACGGGAAGGAGGTGACTCTTAACTGCAGATTTTGTATAAAGGTAAGGAAATTGTTTACATATGTTTCTGAATAAATAGGCAGTCAGGTATAAGTTATATTTTTCAAATTTCGATATTTCTTGAGTAATTTTCGGAAACAATTTGCAAAATATTCAGAGCAGAGGTCTACTCCGCCAATGGCACACAAAATTTACGGAGTTTATCTTAAAATCAATCTTTGGAAAATTTAGCATAAAACTTTCGAAAATTTTGTCTCTTAAAATTTTGACTAAACCGAACAGTTACGGTACGGAATTTGAAAATCGTAGCTTTGCTAACTTCCTAGCATTTTATAAATTCCAGTTTCTCGTCACCTATGAAACTTCCCGTGAGTGTCACAATTTCCACCAAGTTGAGAACCGAGTGGGCCGTGAATATCTAAAATTTGGAATAAAATACCATCGCATTAATATTTTTGTAGTGGAGATGACAATATAATTGACTATGGAAAATCGGGGGGTACCGTATTAAGGAGAGCAATGAGGACAAGTCCGGACCCCAGTGGGAGCCCCAAACTGAGGAGATTCGCACGCTTGCCCATCATCCCACGAGGACGACAATTATTCTCATGCAGCGAGTATTCACTATCGACCAGGGACATGATCTCAATCTCAGATAACTACATTTTATTCCGAACTCGATTAGTGGTCCCCCACGCCGATTGAGTGAAGAATGTTTACCACAAAATCAATCTATACTTTATTTATTCGCATCTGGTGCAGAAAGTGGATACAAAAATTAGTTTGCTGAGTGAGACCTTGGCTGAGACAAGACAACTTTTGCATGAACACCAACCATCCACCAGCACCACGAGAGAGAGACGCTTATAGTTAATATCTAAATGGTACATAAGTTATATCCACGTCTTTCCTCTCTATGACCATGATCAGTGTATACCATTTCTGAATTTCTATGTGCAAATTGATGGTCTTGGATGCTTTATACTCTCACAATACGAACAAACAACAAACCAACAAGGACTAAACTTGCTAATCCTGATGATGTGGATTAGTTAGGCAAAAAACTATCTAACAGCAGCGTATCAACATCAACCCTTTCGTTTGATGCGAAGCATGAATATGTGTGTACTGCTGCTGGTGGTTTGTGTGTAATAAAAGTAATAAATAAGTATTTAAATCCAGTATTCGTATTCATGATACGTTAAAGCGAGTCTCATCCTCGCTCGAGTATGAATTAAGAGATAGTCAGGAATATAATTCAACCTGAACATCCACTTCTCCTGCTCCTGGAATTGGTATAAAGTGCATAAAAAGACGAGTAAGTAAAGGGTTATGTGAAGCTCGCTATAGTTTTATGAAGTTCTGGATTAAATGAGTTACATGTGATGGGATTTGGACGTGATGATGAGACCCAAAAACTGGTTGTCGGGTTCAAGCTAGTTCACAGGATTGAGGAGAAAAAGGTTATTTACACTGGAACGACGAGAAGGAAATTATTGTATTATTTCACTGGAGTTATTTATCATATTTATTTCACAACTCGAGGAAATATGTACGCGTGGATTGGATTTGTGAAATATCTGGAGCAGAAAATGAGATAGGAATATGCTTCCCCAGCAGTTTAAAAATAGTTTACGCTATGATCTGAATAATTTCTACCTCATTTTTCCAAGTAATTTTGTGGGTCTGTTTAGTATCATGACACGCTGCATGGCAAATTTATTACATATTTTTGACACCTTCTTAATTCTCATCGACACCCTCTTCAAATTTTCTGATTCACTAGGATTTTTGCACATTTTCGCACATGATTAGTAGGTACACATTTTTGCAGTAATAAGTACATAATTTAGTACAAAAATTAGTATGCGGACTCCTGCTCGTTGTTGGGATATTTGATGAGGAGGAAGCCATTGGTGGGCGGGTATATTTTGACCTTTTCCAACGCCGCGGTCGAGGGTGCCAAGAGGCTGAGAGCCTTCTCGACCCCGTTGACCTTGGTGGCGCGGATGGACATGTGGTTGTTGGCAGTGTCGACGGAAACGTTGTCCGGAATGTAGCCACGGACGTCGACCTCCAGCGTGAATCCGCTACCCCCACCGAGGCGAGAAGAATGCGGGGTTTTGAGGTAGCTCAGGCTCTTCGTACCACCGCCGAGGACGACAAACTCTCTGAAAAAGTGGTGGTTGATTAGGAGAGGGTGGATATGTATTTGGGAAAAATGAGTGAAATGTGTATATATTTAATATTTAGGGGAAAAAATGTCAAAATTTGCACGAAATATGTACGAGAAAAAGATTAAGAGTAAGAATTTCCAGAAAATTTGTACTTTTGAATGCAATACTTTGGATTTTTTTGTGGTCGAATTAGGAGAAAAATTTCGTCCCATAAAAATTTTGAAATATTACCAAAATGTACGTAAATTTGAAAAAAATATGTAAAAGATTTACATATTTTTCAAGTAATAGCGGAAATAGTTTTACATACTTCAGAAATTCTAGAAATATGTAACAATATGTGGAAATATTTCGAAATTTTTTCGATCCATGCAAGTTGGGCAACACACCCACAAAGTTTGACCGTGGGTCGTCATCAAATGAAAAGGTTGAAAATAAATGCATATCCGCCCTCTGTTCATTAGATATTTTTGGTCGAAACAAGTAGCTTTTTTTGCTTACTTTGAGTTTGACTGAACTTGGGCGTTCATTTGTTTGACGATTCGTTTGAGGTCACCTTTCACTCGATTCTTGATAATTTCTACGGCCATCAATTTTCTAAGTTTGAGCGTCATGTATTGCTTTTTGAGGTTCAAGAGCATCTCCGGAGTCAGCGTGGGAGGATCGCGTTTGGGACAGATCGCGTCACTTGGAACACGACTTTTTCCTATGAAATGGAATAATGCGTAAATTAAAATTGGGGATAAAGTTTTTATGAGTTTGATTTTTTTCCATACTTTAAGAAATCTGGTATTAAAATAGTACCGGGCGGTATTCATATATAACTCTGCCAACCAAAGTCGTATTGAAAGTTATACCGTGTGGTAATAGCTTAGTATTAAAGTTTTACCATATCGGTAGCAAATTGTATAATTTTAATACCAAGCGGTAGCAACTTTAATACCGAGAATTATCTTATATTCTACATTTTATCAATGTGTTTTAATAAATTTCGCAAAGAAAAATACCGTAAATTCGATACCTGAGAAATCAATACAAGATTTGTAACAGTGTATGAAATGAAATGAATTTTTGTTGTTTAAAAAAAATCAGTTTCAATTTCAATTTTTCAAAAAACTGGAAGTGTTTTCTGAGCTTGCCTGATTTCGTGCCCAGTACGATGGCCACTTCCTGCCCGGACGGTTTTTTGCAACCTTGACTTTGGTTGAGGAGGCGATGATTTCTAGAAATACTGCTGCTCTGCTGGGTGTGATATTTCCCAAGATTCCTTTCCATCCCAAAATTTACAAGTATGACGGAGAAGAGATTTTTATTGAGTTCGGAGAGTGTGAAATGCAATTTGAGAATTCCAGTTTTCTTTTGGAGATAACTTTTATGAAATTGAATTTATTTCGTCAATTTTTGAGAGTATGTAAGCCTATGGAAATGCGCATGAAGTCATTTACATAATTTGTAAATGAATGAATGAATGAATTAATAATTGCAATATTCAATCATATTTGGTACGACGATTTATTTTGATAAATTGAAATCAGTATATATAATCTTCCCGTTGTGTCGTAGTGGTCGTTGAGACGGTGGTCGTTGGAAAGGTGGCATTGGTTGTGGGCGTGGGCGTTGGAGAGGTCATGATTTCCGTCGTGGTGGAAGAAACTGATGTCGTGGAGGTGGTGGGTTGACGAGGTGTCGTTGTTGAGGGGACAGTGGTCATGGTGGTGGAGGGTGTTGTACTCATCGTCGTGGATGGCGTTTCTGTCGTAGAGGAGGAGGAGGTTACTGCTGTAGTTGACGTGGGGGATGAGGTTGTTGGTTCAGAGGTGGTTATAGGTTCTGGTGTTGTAGTTCCGGGAGGGAGCGTGGTGGTAGAATTTCCCGTGTCACAGGAGCACTTAAAGGACGCAATCTGGTTGTCCCAATCCTGTCAAGGAATAAAAACAGCGTTTCGTTTCTTGCGGGTTTCCTAGGGATTTTGTACTGCAAAGCAAGCCACGCAAGAAATGTGAGGTGCAAGAAACTGGGAGAAAGTGCAAGAAATATGCACGATCTATTCACGGTTTGAAGCGTCATTTCTTGAGCCGTGCATTTCTTGCAGGTCAAAATAATCACCTGCAAGAAACAACTTTCTTGCCGCTATTTCTTGCAAATAGTTTCTTGCGCCGCATGAGCATGTTTACTTTTTTTATCGCGGCGGGACATAATTTCTTGCGCTTTGCATTTCTTGCAGGTCAGAATAGCTGCAAGAAACCACTTTCTTGCAAGTGGTTACTTGCACCCGAAACATTGAAAGCAGATGGCTAGATAAGCACGTCGCGTGTATTTTTAGGAGGGATTGTTTAGTGATTACGTATGGGAGCACGTCGACGGTGCCATTGACGAAGGCGGCTCTTCCCTGGAACTGTTCCGCGTCGTAGACTTCCATCCCACAGCCGTTCCGCACGACGAGGGAAGACACCCTCCGGAAAAGTTGGGGGTCCAGTCTGCCCTCCTCCTCCCCGTCAAGCACTTCCGTCGCAAAGCCCAGCGCGGTGGAGCAGAAGGGCGCTTCGTACAAAATTGCGCAAATTGTGCTGGGGTCGCTCGAGAGTTGGGGTACTTTTCCCAGACAGCTTTCACAGTGGGCGTAGGCGATCGGGTAGATCCAGCACTGCAGTTTTTAATTTATCACTAAAAATGAAGGTTTCCCAGCGTATGCTCTCAGATTCTGAGGAAATTGGTGTCAATCGATTATAAATTTAATTAATATGAAATTTGCGAATAACGCTACCTCTGAATTGGCACGTTTGGCAGAGATATTTGCATCCGAAGAGGAGAAATCTCACAGTTTTGGAAAGTGTAAAATTTGTGGACTTCAACTCGCGTAGTCTCCTTCATTTTGTGAATATTGTTTTGTTGAACGCCGTTTAAAGTAATTTAAATAAATTTAAATAAATTAGTAGGAAGTTAGATGACACCGTACCGATGTGGTACTAATTTTGTAATTTGGTACTCTTACTAAAAAGTTTTGGACACAAATTACGGCCATTTTTATAAGGATTCGGTCGGACATAGACGGATTAAAAATATATTGAGGATACTTCTTAAAAAAATGGTCCGAATATGTGTCCAACATTTTTTATCACATCCACCAAATTATCATGTCTGTTGGGTTTCATCTTTTCAAACTAATAAATCAAAATCTATTTAAAATAATTTAAACGGCGTTGAATAATAAAAATTTAATAGTGCAGAAAATAAAGTAATAAAACAAAGGAGGAGAAAACGCATTCTAAAAGTCAACAAATTTTGCAAATTCCAAACTTACTGAACGTTTTCTCCTCTTGGGATGCAAATATCTCTGCCGCACGTTCCCATTAGGAGATCGTGTCTTTCGCAAATTTCATCCTAATTAAATTTGTGATCGATTGACACCAATTTGCTCAAAATCGGATCGCATACGTTGGGACACCTACATTCTCAGTTTTATCCATAAATTTTAAAATGCCATATAATTTTACGTACATCTTCGCCCCTTAATAGTTTCGAGTCGTGGTACACGTTGACCTTGCCCATCGTGTCGACCAAGACGAGCACGCACCGTTCCCGCATGTCGACCGCGACGGGGATGAAGTTGTACCCGTGGAGCGGACCCGTTTCCTGATTCAGACCGAAGTGGATCGTGCCATGGAACTGGTTTCTGATCTGGGCGCACTCCGTCCACGTGTTGGGCGGAGGGGGAGGTGGAGGGAGGTAGTACTCGTAGGAAGGAGGGGCCGGGGGTGGTGGTCCCCTGGGGGAAAAGAGTGGGGGCAAAGCCACCACGCGGTATGGCGGGTAGTAAAAATCCCGACATTCCACGGAGACACTTATGGCGAGGAGGAGGATGGAAATCTCGACTTTTTTCAAGGCCCCCATTATTTATTTTTGCGAGCTGCTGCGAAATGCTGCGAAAAATAGACTGTAGTGTGCCATTCATGTTTAGATGAAATTGTAACCCAGTTTGTTTTTTGTTATCTCTCTTCTTCCAAGGATTCGTACTTTCGTAGTAAGAAGACGTTGAGGTGATAAGGTCAATTTCCGGTGTTGCGAGAAAAGATGCGAATTATGAGAGGATTGGGTGACATAATGTGTATCGTGTGCAAATATTTATGCAATGAATGACGGACAGACAGACAAGCCAGCTTATGAATGTTATTTATTTTACACGTATGTAAATATGTATTGGACGAGACGAAGGATAATTCTTTGTATGTGTGCGAGAAGAGGGATGAAGATGACGAGATGATGCGTATGTATATTTAGTACAAAGTTGGGTATTTTTAAGCTATAAATAAAGTTACCAAGTAGAGAAATATTTGAGTTGCGATGATGATCTCAAGGTGAGTTGGTAATTAAGACGTTTATGGAAAATTTCATAAAATGGAACGGAATGCCTGGGGAAATTGGTAATTGAGACGCTCCCGGTAAATTTCATAGAATAGAGGGCCCACGTAATTTGTAGTGAATTTGCATAATTTTGGCACAAATAGGTCATTTTACATACTTGATCATTATTGACAGTTACACTTTAGCGAAGAGACGCGGTCATTCCAGCCCTGAAAAAATTGTAAAAGTTGTGATTTTCAAGTATGCAAAATTGTATGCAAATTGTATGCAAAATTTAGCAATTTATGAAATTTAGTAATTTTTCTGACCTGTGTCATCAGTGAGTCGACGCCGCCCGTAAAGATTTCCATATTTCCGGTAAAGTTCTGTCCCTCCCAGACGCTGAGACTGCAGCCAGGTTTGACGACGAGGGAGGAGATTTCGTTGTTGAAGATTTGCAGGTGCGGCACTGCGTCGAGGGGATTGATCTCCAGGCGGAATCCGGAGCACGAGCTGCACTTTAGGTTTTGGTAGAGACGGGCGCAGGAAAGGTCACGGACGGCGACTTCGCCTTGACAGCCGTCACATTCACAGCAGGCCGCGGCGATCCTTCGGTTCCACTAGGATTTTTAGGGGAAAATTTAGAGGTGGGCAAAATACTTGGGAAAAATAGAGTATTTTTAGCTAGATTTGTTCCCAGGGTTTGGATTTCCGGGGGTGGAGCACCCACAAAAAGACGGGAATTTACGTGGAGAAGGGAACAGTCGTACGAAAATGCAGGTTTTGTTCAGAAATTAACTTTTTATCGGGGTCAAAATGCATTTTTTTCAGAATTTGCTTAAAAATGCAGTATTTTGATATTAATTAAACGTTAATTTCTTCAGTAAACCCGTATTTTCGAACCATTGTCGCCTTTTCTAGGTAGATTTTCGTCTTTCTGCGGGTGTTCCACCCCTGGGAAGCTCAAAATACTGTATTTTGCCCACCCCTGATAAATTATCACGTGGCTTACCCCCCACAAGCACGAAGAACTCCGTTCGATCGTTCTTTTGCATCCCGTTTTGTCGTAAACGGTGAGCGTGCATCCGTTCCGAATTATGACGGATTCTGCCTTGCAATCCATCCCACCAAGATTTGTCTTCCTCTCGTTTTGGTCGCAGTCGACATTGTTTCCTAAAATTATTATAATGTTTTGGTTGGATTGGTATATAAGAAAAGTAAAATTATTACCTTCGAAGCCTAGCTGATCCCACATTCTGGCGCAGCGGATGTCATTTCCGGGGGTGAAGAACTGCTGGCCCAGGATGCCCACGACGCCGCCCGAAATGAAGAGGAGGAGAAAGGATTTGCCCCACATTTTGCGTAGTAATTGGTGATCTGGTTGGTCGAGAGGTCAGTTGAGGACTGGAGTGTGGGGCGAAGTTTTGTGCGAGTTAATAATGCTTTGATATCAGGATGGGAATCAGGCTTGACTTGTTGACACATTTAAAAAAGGTGACAGTTAAAAGACTTGCATTGAGTTCATTCAATCGTCGTCGTGGTGGTGGTCATAATGTGACCCGAGGTTATACATATACAGCATGGGAGAAGATGATGAGCCATGGTGCGTTGGCAGTGTCAGGTCAAGAAGAAATTGCGAAAAGATGGGATTTGCGCTTAGTCATATAAATGTGTAGATGGGCCGACGAGGAACAAGACATAATCCAAGCAAGTAAGTTACTCAGCATGGGTCGACGAGTATAGTTGAATTAATTGCAGAATTGGTAGGTGCATGATGGGTTTGATGCGATTCTCATCTGCAATTTTTCCACCCATAAATATTGTGGGTGGAAGCCGCTTAGTGTGATCGTTTTGTCCGTCCGTCCGTTCCGTGGGTAGGATATCTCGAAAACGCCTCAGCATAATCATTAATCAAACGCCGTTTTGGCCATTGTGTTTCTAATTTTTGCAACACCATGTTTCCGGCATATTTACGGCACTCCTACTTTATTTGGGACGAAACAGGTTACAGGGTCGACCTTGATAATGGGGTAAATTTGACCACCCCCACAGAGAAAGGGGTCTGGTATAAAATTAAAGTTGACCTTAATTTTCACAGGGGATGTCATTTTAAAGGAAATTTCGCCACACCGTGAATATTTTTGACCTCCGACCAACCCATGACCGCGAAGATGAGGTCAAAGATCCTAAATTACATGATTTTTCATGTAGTGTCATTTTACAATTTACTGTATGACGCCACTTTTATATGTATGTTTGTTTGAGAAGAGTTATTAATTATGGGTATGACTGACTGAGGCATATGTATCTTGAAATTCATTATCAATGGATGATAAGCTGTTGAATGAATGATAATTAATTAATTATTGGAAAGATAATTGGCAAGTAAAAAGAGTACGAATTGGAAATGCATCGTCAGACTTGAGTCCAGTCAGACATGGATAAAAATCATACTCGGCGTTTGAAACTTGAATCAGTTCAAGGCCTTTCTCCGTCCCAGCTAAAGAAAAAGTCCAGTTCGCAAATCATCAATCTGCCTGCATCATCACACGGCATTCTTTTTATTTTTAATTATTTACTAAATATTTAGAGTGCAAGAAGTTATCTTATGTAAGTTTGTATTTTTCATGGAACGTTAGTTGGTTGCACTTTTTACGTACTTTTGCCTCGAGTCACATGATTCATTGCATATTGTGACATTTAAAGCTTTATTTTTCAAGATACACATGCAATTAATTATGCAGCCGATAATTAATTGATTAATTTAATGAGCGATCTCGTAATTAATTGTGCAATGAAAGAGTGGAACAAATGAATGGTTATGAAATCGTGGAGTGCATTTCATATCAAAAAGTGGAGCGGAGCCACTTAACGACGACGACGACGGGGTATTTTTGGTGGGATGGTTTTTAAAATAGTTTTGGAATGAGTGGACATTTAGGAGGAGGAACAAATGAATGGTTATTTATATGAAATCGCGTAGTGCATTTTATTTAAGTGGAGCGATACCATTTAACGGCGACGACGGCGTATTTGGTGGTTTTTAAAATATTTTTGGAATGAGTGGATAATTTGGAGGAGGAAGCTGGGTCGTGGAGTGGAAGGGTTATTTTATTTATTTTATTACAATTGATGGGATTTGATGGACATGTGTCACGATGTCTGTAAAAATGTGTCAACTTGATAATCACGTACACAAGAAAGTCTTGGCTTGCCTCTTCTCCAGTAGCTTTATGTGTATGTATGTACATACATAATTTCTGCAAAGTGAGTGGCTCTTCTCTGTAATGTCCTGAATGCAAATAATTTAGCAGAGGATGCATAAAAGAGAAAAAAGTGGTGGAAATACATTGATCGTCCAACTCAATTCATGACAAATTCATAAGAATTCCAGACATGCATTGGCCATGGGACGTTATTTGACCTCATCGTCGTTGACGCCGCCGTTGGCCGTGTGTGGGACCAAAATGCATTTATCTCATGTATTTCTTTACTTTATTATTTTTTTGTAACGCATTTTTGTACTAAAACAGACTAAATTTTAAAATCCTTAATAAATAAATAATTACCAATCGTCCGCTCCCCAATCGTCACCTTTGTCCTCGTCGTCGTCCGGCGCTTCTGTAGTTGTCGTGGTGGTAATTTTCTTCGTCGTGGGGGCTGGCGTGGTCGTGGTCGTGGTGGTAGTGGTCATTTTCGTGGTCGTGGTGGTCATTGCTTTCATGGTGGTGGTTTCCTCTTCGTCAGAGTCGTCATCGCCCCATCCGTCGTCATCGTCGTCAGAGTCATCTTCGTCACCTTTGTCGTCAGGTTTGTTATCTTCGGTCTTATCGTCGGATCCTCCTCCTCCAGTTTCTGGGAAAGGGTCGGTTTCTTCTTCTTTGTCGTGACCATTTCCGGTTTCTTCTTCTTTGTCGCGACCATTTCCGTTTTCATCTTCTTCCTCCGAGGAAAGGAAGGGGTCCTGGTCTTCTTCGCTGCTCGGGGGATTTGTCGCGATGGGGTCGGGATAATCCCCCCAGTCCGAAGTGGTTGGGGCTGTGACGGGTGCTTCTGTGATGACGGGCATCGTGACGGTAACGGCAGGTTTGGTTACGACGGGAAGTGTGACGGTAATTTCGGGAGGGTCGGTGAGCCAGGGTTCGATTGTTGCGGGGGGGTTTGTGAGCCAGGGCTCGATTGTTGCGGGAGGGTCGGTGAGCCAGGGTTCAATTGTTGCGGGGGGGTTTGTGAGCCAGGGCTCGATTGTTGCGGGAGGGTCGGTGAGCCAGGGTTCAATTGTTGCGGGAGGATTTGTGAGCCAGGGTTCAATTGTTGCGACGGGAGGGTCGGTGAGCCAGGGTTCAATTGTTGCGACGGGAGGGTCGGTGAGCCAGGGTTCAATTGTTGCGACGGGAGGGTCGGTGAGCCAGGGTTCAATTGTTGCGACGGGAGGGTCGGTGAGCCAGGGTTCAATTGTGACGGTGTGATCGGGATAGTAAGTCGGCCACGTGGGATAAGGGTCCCACGTGGGTGCAGCGGTCGGGTAAGTCGGCCACGTGGGTGCGGCTGTGGGATAGGTCGGCCACGTGGGCAAAGGGATGGCAGTGGGATAAGTCCAATGTGGCTGTGTGGGTGCGGCCGTGGGGTAAGTCGGCCACGTGGGTGCTGCAGTGGGGTACGGATCTTGATGGGGGCAATGGCATTCCACGGAGGAAACGTGTTTATTCCAGTTCTATGTAGTGAAAAACCCATTTTTCAATGATGCATCGTCAAAATAGCACATTTTAAATCATTTATCGGCTCTGGGAATTTATTTTAAAATTCTGAACGACAAATTTGTAGAGCAAAGGTTGTTCCCAATTTTTTTTAAATACACACTCCAGATTTTGACCCTTTTTGTAGGACGAGATTTCAAGTTTGAGAACCCTTCAAAAAAATTGGTACTTGTCGAAACTGGCCCAAAAACCTCACCAGTATTCAATTAATAATCTTAATTACTACTGTCTTCCAGAATTTTAAAATAAATTCCCAGAGGCGAGAAATGATTACAAATGTGCTGATTTTTACAATTTTTGTGATAAGTCATCGATAACTATGTAAAAATAATAAGAATAATAACTTACATCTCCAAACAAATTGATGGAGTTGGTAAAGTTGACACGGTATCCTTGATAGTTGGCGTCATAGTAGCTGATGACGTAACACCCCGGCCGCACCACGATGGAGGACATGCGGTTATCCAGATGGCCAAAGTTTCTCACTTTGTCGCCCGACTTCAAGTCCAGCCTGTAGCCGTCGCACCCGTTGCAGCGCTCATGCTCGTACAGCCTGGCGCATTGGAGGTCCTTGTGCGCGGAGGGGCCTTCGCACCCTCCGCACTCGCAACACGCCGCGGTGACGGGGTAGTTCCACTAAATAATTTGCATGGAAAAATAGGGGGGGATATTTATTAAGGAGAATGTCGACAATGGGGACGCAAACTGTGTTAAACCCGGATTATTTTTTGACCACTTCACTTTGGAAGATCAAATTTTCAGAAACAGGATTTAGTGCGGAACTTGACTCAAGATTTAGAGAATTCAAGTTCGCAAACAGTGGCCGCGGAAGGGTGAGGACAGAGGGACAATGTCCACATGGTTATTGGATGTACCTTTCATCTGTCCATGTTATTAAAAACTCCTTCATCCCCCCAATCCTATAGTGTTAATTAATGTCCCCAGCTGTCCCCACGGCTTCCGCGGCCAATGGTCGCAAAACGGCTTTGTTTTCTATACGAGAATAGTCTGAGATGCTACCGCAAGGGACAGATTCTCCTCGAAAATGGAGTATTTTTGCGAACTAGCGGTGCCCGTAACGCTCAGAATTTTGCGCATTTGCACAAATTCACTTCGCACTAACAATGGAGGCGCAAACCATGTTCAGCCCAGATAATTTTTTGACCTTATTAGTCTGAAAGAGCAAGTCTTTACAAACAACATTTGGTTCGGCACTTGGGCAGATGCGCAAATTTCAGCACGTTATGTGCGCCGCAAGTTCGCAAAAACGCACGAAGTTGAGCTCGCGCTGGGCATTGCCCGAAAAATCATGCGTTTTTGCGAACTTGCGACGCCCATAACGTGCTGAAATTTGCGCATCTGCCCAAGTGCCGAACCAAATGTTGTTTGTAAAGACTTGCTCTTTCAAACTAATAAGGTCAAAAAATTATCTGGGCTGAACATGGTTTGCGCCTCCATTGTAAGTGTTGTTTCTAAAGATTTGGTCTCTCAAAGTGAGTAGCTGGTGAAAAAAATCAGGGCTGAACATGTTCCGCGTCCCCCTTCTGAATCTGCCCTGCCACCTTTTTCATTACCCCCCAAATCCAGTGCGAGTCATCCTTGAAGGTCCTCCTGTTCCAAAAGTAGTCGTACACCGTGAGCGCGCAGCTCGACTTGACCCTCACCGACTGCGGTTTGATGTTGTTATACCAGCCGAAGTTGTGCAGCTTGTCGCCATCCTTAAAGTCGGAGGAGCGGCCTTGGTAATTGGGCTGGTCGTGGATTCGGGCGCACTCGAAGGCGTCGTCGCCATCGCCGCCGCCGCCGCCGTATGGATTTCCTCCGCGATTGCCCCCGCGGAAAATGGGGTAGTAGCTGTTGTCCACGTCGTGATAGAAGTATCGGGCCTGCGCGGAGTGCGGGATGACAAATAAAACGCCACAAATTAGGATTTTTAACTCGTAAAACATTTTTATTCTGGGGCTCCTTTTTTGCTACTGGATCGTGTCTGAAAAGTTATGCATAATCGGTCGGGCAATGAATCGAAGAAGAGAGGAGACGAAATATAAGTAAATTCAAGGTTGCTAAATTCCTGGGATTTGATATTGATAAGATACTTACTTGTTAATGGCAAATTTGTGATAATGTAAATATTTGCATGTACTTAAAATCCCATGAAATAGAAATAAGTATGTTGTAGATGGGCATTTCGTAATTGGGTTAGTTATCAATACATATTGCGGTTTATTCATGCAAATCAATGAATTTATACGGATGGGTGTTAAGTTATATTAATTTGTGTGGATTTGCGAGGAGCGAAATATTGGTTGATTGGTGACATTGATTTCACATTTGATCCACTTTATTATTGCTCAGATTTGATTGAATTTGTCATGCCAGGCCAGACAAGGTATTTTGGTTCGTGGCAGTGGCCGCGGAAGCCGTGGGGACATAAAGATTGTAGGATGGGGGGAGGGAGGGGTTTGTATAAGATGGGGAGATGATGGGGACATCGAATAACTGTGGGGACGACATTGTCCACACGCTTCCGCGGCCACTGCTTCATGGGAAGGACAATCGACGCTGAAATGTTATGTATCATCCGTGTCATGTCATTCATCTTGCATAATTTAATACGGTTGCATGACATGTTGATGTTGAGACTCAGATTTTGCTGCTATTAATAATATTTATTAATATTTTAAGTGTATTTATTTAGCATAGTTTTGACGTCGACATGAGATTATTTTGCACTTATGCAATAACTGGTTGATTTAACTTGTAGGTGGAAACAGCATTTGATGTGGTATTTGTAGTTTCAGATTTTGATTACCTTACATATTTGATACAAAAAAGAACTTGGTCAATTTTATGATATGGAAAATAATGTAGCCGATTTAGGGATGTTTATGATTATGGTTTGTTTATGTAATAAGTTTTAAACAATAATATGAAAATGTTTACGTAAAAGTATATAAATAGTTTGGTTTGGAAGGACGTGTGGAGTTGAAGAGCATTTATTTATTTATGTCGCAAATTACAATATAGTTGAAAAGATGAGGCAATTATTTTATTTTTTTGAGTACTCGCCACGGTTCCGGGTGATAAGCTTATTTTTGTGGTTTGTTTCCCTGATTTATTCGACATCAAGGGGTGCGTGGTTAACGTAGAATTTAATGACTCATAACAAAAATTGTCAAAATCAGCACATTTTAAATCATTTCTCGCCTCTGGGAACTTATTTTAAAATTCTGGACGATAAATTTGTAGTAAGTAAATTGATTAATGGAATGGCGTTGAGTTTTTTGAGCCAGTTTCGATGAGGTTCATTTTTCCTGAAGGCTTCCTAAACTTGAGATCTCCTCCTTCAAAAAGTGTCGAAATCTGGAGTGTGTATTTTTAAAAATTGGGAACTCCCTGCTCTACAAATTAGTCCTCCAGAATTTTGAAATAAATTCCCCGATGCGAGAAATGATTAAAAACACACTGACTTTGGAAATGCGTCATCGAGTCCCACGTCTTACTGAATAATTAAATTTATTTGTATATAAGTTTCTGTACGATAGTTTCCAGCTCAGTGATCCGCCCCCAGTATGGCGAGCAGAGTAACGCCTTGGACGCCACGGGGATGAGGAACAATCGCCAAATTCTGGTCACCCTACTTCCGTCTCGACTTCATCTCATTCCTCCTTCGTCGTCTCGAGGAAAGACGAATTCGGCCACAATCCTGACTAAAATCTTGACCGTGTCCGACCTCCAGCACGACGGGGACGGAGAGTTGAGGCCGATTGAGGAAAACGACGTGGCGGAAGGGACGAGGGGGAAAAGGTTCGCTTGCTGGCACAGCTGCTTGACGCCGTGGAAGAAGAGAAATCCCAAGACGAAAAACGACCCCTTCAAAATTTTGGGGGTTAATAATTACTTATATTAAACGCTACGTATGAAAATATGTTCCCAGCCAGAACCCGATGTTAAAATAACGTTGACACAACCGTTTTAAGGTGCGATTTGTGCACTGTTACATTAAAGAGCAGAAAAAAAACGAAATCAACATTGACACTATGTTACGCAAGCCAGGTTTATCAACAGTGCATCAGCGCATCATTTTCACGTTGCTGAAACGCGTTGAGATAGTGTCTCAACGCGTTTTCACTGTGAATCCGCAGCGCTGATTTTACTCTTATTCAACGTGAATTACAGCTGCTGTGATGATTAAAATCACACTTCAGAACACGTTCCGCCATTTTAACCACGCATTCCGTTCCACACATTTAGTGAAGTTAATCCACACTCTCAATTTTTCTAATCGTTCAAGATTTAGTTAAATAATTACAAATTAATTTAAATTAAGTTAAATGGGACCTAAGCACCAAGTGAAAAGCCCATTTGTTGTCGTGCTGTTCCCGAATGAAAACTCTGTTGAGGCAATCCCGTCATCTCTTCTGTTCGATAACGAAACAAAGTGTAAATGGCCAAAGAAGGTCACTCCGGCTTTTAGTAATAAGAAAAAGGACAAAGCATTAAGGCCTGGCTCGGATTGGGATGATTACGATTGTCGAGTTTTAGGACGATTTGGTAGTTTTCAATGTTATTTATTCAATTGATTTAATTAATAATAATTTTGGTAACTTATTTTATATAGCTACATATGAGGAGGCCACTGATGGATTGAAATTAGCTGAAGCTACGTCAGATATCGAAACTAAATCAGATCAGCAACAGCATAGGACCAGAAAAAGAATTGCTTCTCGGCCATCCCCAAAATCAAATTCGTCAGCCGGATCAGATGAGGAGGAGGAAATACCGGTCATTTTGAATCCTAGTGTTGTGGTCTCAGCCGAAGATGATGCCGACTTTAGCCCAGAAAGCATTGTTGAGCCGGATGGAAATTTTCTTGGTAATTTTTTTGCTGTTCAATGATATATTAAAAGTATATTATCGTTAAAACCTGATGAATTGTTATTTAGTACCGCCAAGTGTTTCGGTCGCTCCTTCAATAACCGTGGCTCCAGCTTATCAAGTCGCGGGGGATCATCAACAATTTCAGCAGTCCTCTCAAACCATTCTTTTGAATTTGGATGGTTCATTTAATTTAAATTCTCAAAATACGGCCCTTTCACACCCAGCAACAGTTTCTATCCCTGTGCCAGGGCCATATACAACCAGCAGTGGAGACTTAACTTTGGGTAAAATTGTATAACTATAATCGATTTTTGAAACAATTAACCTATTGTTTTATTACTTGGTGTAAACTAGTTTATTTGTAATTTCAGGATTTCAGCAGGTTGTTATCAATCATCTTGCAGCAATTGAGAAGGAACAGAAAGATATTCGGGGGCTTCTAACAGAGATTAAAAGGAATCAAGAGTCAGGAGTGTCGCCAATTGCTAGGCCTGTGCTGGATTTCTCTACTCTTCCTCGATTTCCATTAAATAACGAGGGAGAACTTGGCGCCTTTGAGACACGACTTCAACTTGTGGATGAATACAATTTATTTGTAATTGCTTAATAGTTCAATTTAGTTCAAATCAAGTGTAATTTAATTAATGGTGGATCATTTTATATTTCATCGTTAATTTAACAGGTAGAATATTTGATTGGAATTGGAGGAAATGACCTCAAGGAAACAGTGACAGAAATCTTAAAACGTGTTTTCAGTAAAGAAGTGAGAATTCAACTGAGCTACACTGGAAAGGGGCTGAACAAAATCTCATACTCTTCGTTTATCAAAATTAATGACGCTTTAATCGGTGAGTATAAACCCTACATGTAAAAATATATATGCTTTTGAGTTACCCTACTAATTAGTAACATTTTTATTTTGCAGCGGCAACTAGACGAAACAGAAAACTTGTAAATTCATTAGGAGGAATCACAGAAATTCAGATCAAGCAAATCATTATGGACAAACTTCGTTTCAGTCGTAAATAACTATTGTGTGGCATTTTATAATATTGTCTATGAAGATTATAAATTTATAGTAGGAATTATGTCAGCGAGTAGAAATAGAAGACGGATAATTCAATCAAATGTTATGAAAATACAACAGGAAATTCACGATAAGGTGTTAGCTCAATCTAATGTTTCCGAAGAAATAGAGCAGCCTGCTTTAATGTTGGAAGAAGATGAAGTAGGGTCAAACTGTCAGATATTTTTACAACCAAATTCTAAATTAAATGAGGTCCCATTAATTTTAAATTCTAATCTAGTTGAGGGTGACGAATTAGAAGTTGACTTAAAAGACAGGTTAGCTAATTGGGCAGTACAGCATAATATTACGTCAACTGCCATTGATGATCTTTTGGGCATTTTATCTGCACATGTGACAGGTTCTAATTTACCAAAATGTGCTAAGGGTTTAGTGGGGACTCCAAAAAATTATGAAATTAGCGAGATTCAGGGTGGTTCATATCATCATTTTGGGCTGAAACAAAAATTGTTATTCTTATCTAAGGTGTTTACAATACCAAGGGATGGAGTGCTTTGGATAATCCTAGGAATTGATGGATTACCAATTAGTAAATCTAGCAAAAAACAATTTTGGCCAATTCTAGGGCGATGTATCAACGTAGCGAATAATGTCCCATTTTTAATTGGTTTATATTACAGCGATAATAGCAAACCTGTGGATGTCAGCGAGTTTCTCCAACCATTTGTAACAGAATTTAAGAAACTGTCACAGGAAGGAATAAGAATTAATGGTATTCTTTATCAAGTTAGACTACAGTGCATAGTTGCAGATGCCCCGGCAAGAAATCTTATTAAGCAAACTTCAGCATTTAATGGTTATAATGGTTGTGACCGTTGCATTGATAAAGGCGTATGGTTAGGTCGCGTGGTATTTAAAAATTTACAAGCGGATTTAAGGTCAGATATTGGATTTGTTGGGCAGGAGGACGCCAATCATCATGTAGGTATTTCCCCATTAATTGGGCTAGGCGTTGGCATGGTTTCTGGGGTTGTTCTTGATTACATGCACCTTATTTGTTTGGGAGTTGTTAAAAAGCTACTGAAATGCTGGAAAAGAGGACCCATGCACAAGGAAGGGAAGTATACAATATATGAAATTTCAGATAGACTGATTCAACTTAGAAAATTTGTTTGCTCGGAGTTTAATAGGAAGCCAAGGCCACTCTCGGAGTTGGAGTTTTGGAAGGCGACAGAGCTCCGAAATTTCTTGTTGTATTTTGGCCCATTTGCTTTAAAGGGTTTACTTAGTTCTGAAAAATATGAGCATTTTATGGCTTTAAGTATTGCAACAAGAATTTTGCTTTCAAATAATCGTAATTGGTATAATTACGCCCGACATTTAATGTTTGAGTTTACAAAAAATATTGGTAAGCTATATCATGATCAATTTTTGGTTTACAATGTTCATTCGTTAATTCATTTAACGGACGATGCTGATAAGTTTGGGTCGTTGGAAAAGGTCAACGCTTTTGCTTTTGAAAATAGTATGCAGTCTTTGAAGAAAATGTTGAGGGGTAAGAGTCGTCATCTTCCACAAGTTATTAGGCGGGTGATAGAGTTAGAAAAGTCTAATGTTTCAAACACAACGTTTAGGATCGAAAACAATCTCCATATATCAAAAAAAATTAACGATCGTGGTTGTATTCTAAAAACTGGTTGTGTTGTGATTGTTGTTAAGAAAAGTGAAAATGATTTTGTTGTGAGAAAGTTTAAAGGACAATCAGAGTATTTTACTAAGCCTTGTAAGGGTTCCAAATTTATGATTCAAAAGGTATTTAATTTAGCTTTCCGTTCAACAACTATAACTCAATCTGAAATAAGATGTAAAGTTATGTTATTTCCTATTAGTGCAGATAACTCTTTTTTCTGTGTCCCGTTATGCGAAGAGTAAAAGAAGTTTTAATATTTAATGTCTTAGTATAATAAGTTAGATATAATAGATATTTAATATTTAATGGATAGTTTTAATTTTGTTCATGAAAATAATATTGTTATTCATTTTGTTTTTGGGTACGATATGAATAAATAAATTCATGAGAAAAATAACATTTTTGTACATGATTTTAACGTGCAACCACCCTGTACTGAGCACCGTGCAAGCATAAACATTGTGACAACGATAAGCCAATGTTACACTTTGTTGCAATGCACGGCCAAGTCAAGTTTCACCAATGTTGATAACATGCTGTAGCCACGACCGGGCACAGTGCTCACACCATTATGCTCCGCCCTCTTTGTAACATTAAACTAACACGCTTTAGGCGGACATCATACGTAGTGCATCAACACTGTTGATCTAACGTTATTGTAACGTTCGGGTTCTGGTTGGGTAGATTCCCCTCGGTGGAAAGGTCGTTACATTAACCAGTTCCATTTTTAGCCCGAGTCAGGGCTTTTGTACGCGTTATGTTAATTTGTCTGTCTGTATGGATGTATATTGATTTCGCTGGTTAAAATTATCCAGTGAACTTAAAACTTTTGGTCACATGTAGAACATGCAAAATTAGGAATCCAGGTTGAAGATGAGCTACATCCTACATCGAGTCAGGGATTATGTACCCGTCATGATGGCCTAGGACCCATGATGGCCTTCGGTCACTTTACATAATTTCTGCTGCATAACTACCATTTCACATAATGGCCATTTTACATAATTATCAATTATGTTAAACCCAACTTTGCATAATTTACATAAACATATGTGGAATGGTTACACTCTTGCTATTAGAAATCCAGTATTAAAAGTATTAAAATAATACCCGCCGGGTATTACCCGGTGGTCTTCATATATGACTCAACCAGGATGGTACGGATAAGTAATACCTTCTTGTCATAGCTCGGTATTAGTTTTACCATTTCGGTACCAAATTTTTTACGGACCGGTAAAATTTTAATACCAAGCGGTAGCAACTTTAATACCAAAAATCAATAACTGCATGACTAGTAGGTATATCAGATTTCTAAGTGCATTTGTACGTACATAAAAAATAACCCCACTGGTTCCACCGACGACTATATTTGCACATTATAGTGCTCGGCTACTGTATATAAGGAGAAAGGAAATTTCAAACTTACGTAAAAACACTAACTCCTAGCCCTGATAATTAAGCCGGTAGAGATTACGAAATTAAAATCCAGTTTTCCCTGCAGATTTCCAAACACGCCATTCAAGAAGATTTTAAGATGTGCAAGTTCCTCCCAATCTTAATTACGAAACAATTATGCAATACGTATTTATGTGATAAGGCTTGTTATGTAAAATGACTTCTATGCAATAAAAATTAGGCGAAATGGCCATTATGCAAAGGTTCGTTATGTAAATTGACCTAGGACCGTCATGATTGTCTGTCTATCGATTAAGCTTATCCAGTCGACTTTAAATTTTGTACACACACACACCTAGAATTGGTATAATTTGAAGATGAGTAAAATCTGTCAAAAAATAAATCAAAAAGTTGTAGCAGTCGTATTATACCCATCTCAATTACATGACTCGGGCTAAACAAAGCCGTACTCTGGGTTTCACCATTGCACAGCTTAAGGAAATGACCCTAAATAAATATGTACCATACCATTGCACGGTTTTGTCAAAACATGGTCCCGAATAAACAATGACAAACTACAGAACAATTACATTTTTGCAAACTTCGTAAAATGGTAAAACAATGAGTGAGGTATGTATTTACGAGTACTATTTATGTGCATATCCCAGTCACATATTTTTGGCAGCCGGGCTGGTCCGCCCTGTAAATATATTGATGGACCAGGAAGACCTCTAATAAATTTTCGTAGGCTTTGTTTGAGTTTTGATTTCAGGAAGGAAAAAGTGTGCGTGGTTTGGTAACAAATCATAATAATGACAATTCCACGGCGAAAGTCAAACGTGCTGGGTTGGCTGCTCGTCGTCCTCGTGATCTTGATACGTCAAGGTGAGATTACGAATTACTAGAAATTATCAGCGGTGGTCAGGTGGTCAAGATACTTTGGAAAAATGGGGTACTTTCAACTAAGGTCGTTCTTCCCAGGGTTTGGATTTCCGGGGCTGGAACACGCACAAAAAGACCAGAATTTACGTGGAGAAGGCAACAGTCACACGAAAATGCAGGTTTTGTGGAGAAATTCGCTGTCGAAATACTTTATTTTTAAAATATTGTAAAAACCATCCATTTTGACAGCGATGAAAAATCAGTTTCTTCGCAAACCATGTATTTTTGTATGACTGTTGCCTTCTCCACGTAGATTTTCGTCTTTTTGTGGGTGTAACAACCCTGGCAAGAACGGAAGAAAAATGCCAGATTCTAAGAAAAATATGAACGAAAATATTAGTATTTTATAACAAAAATAATAATATTTTGGCAGGATCTTGACCACCGCTGGAAATTATGCGATATAAATTATAATTGAACTCTTTAATTAATTTGATACCGTTAATTATTAATTGAAATGAGAGAAAAAATCTACAGGTTGTGCGTTCCCAGTTTCGCCCGACGTGGAGTCGTCACCTCTCGCGTCTGATGGCGAGCTTTCCCCGGATGAGCGGAATCGTCG